AGGACTGAACACCATCAGGAACAATTCAGCCTGAGACGAGACTCTTGGTGATAGTAACATTTAAAAGACAAAAGATTAGTGTTCCAGAGTTCACATGGGCCTTAGGAGTGCAATAAACACAAAAAAAATGGATTTAGGTAGGACTTGCAAAAAGAAGACCATGGCTGAACAGTATTGTGGAACTGTTCATCCAGATTTTACTCAAGGTGATTTAAAAAAAGAAGACACCCCAGAGTGTCTGCGGGTCTTTGGAGCGCAAGTGGAGACAAGATCGCATTGAGATTCTGTCAAAGTAAAACCCATCAGACTGCGGAATAATCTGCGGTAATCTGTTCTCAAAAGTTTTCCTCTGATAAAAATCCAGATCGATACTTGACCCGTCAATGGCATTGATCATTTCTGAGAGGAAAAAGGGTACCTTGTGACATTAATTTGAATGTCAACTATTTCCCGTGATTTGTTCTTTCATTTGGCATCGATTTTTAGTTCTGCTGGAGGGTCCGTATATATAAGAGCAAGTTTTTTTCATCCAAAATGATTTGGTGGAGTAAAACGTGAATTTTGAGCAAATGATGAGCCTCGAGTGAACCCGTCTCCCTCAGACAAGAGGCCATTTTCGCTCATTAATGATAGAGGCGTTTTGTTTGACCTTGTTAACATGTGAGCCAAAAAGAGAGCAGAAGAAGGGCGTGGGCGGTGGGGCGTTGGTGGGGTCCTGAAGGCTTGACTTGTGGGTTTATTTTCTGACTTTGTTGCCGATGGATTCTCGATGCGGTTTTTGGAATTTGAAGACTTCGACCTTGGCAGCAATCTAACAAAGGACAGCACGCTGTCGCTTGAATTTGTATGGGATGAACGATGTCACGCGGATGAAGGCTGCTGGGCCATTCAGCGCATTTTGGACCACCATTTACCCCACGGGGGTGTTCCATAATTCATGGAGAAGCCGTGCACCTGTCACAGCAGCTCTGCAAAGAGACTTAGATAGGGTAGGACACCGCGCGGTTGAGGGGCAATTATAATGCCACGTTCGACATCCGCGGCTACTTCAGCCTCTTGACTCTTTAGTCGCGTCACACTGCGGGGGGCACAGCAATGGGCACCTTACAAAACATCCATTTTTGCCGTTTCATTGATAGAGATCGCAGAGCATCCGATGTTTCTGCGATATTTGGGCAGAAAACTCTGCATGTCCTTACGCTATGCTAGTTAGCTACAGTGGTGGAAGGTAACAAAGTACAAATGATATCCGTTGTTAAAAATGCTTCGATGTTTCAGGTTTCTTCTTTGAGTATTTATTTTTTTCAAAAACTTTTCCATTTTCCTCCCGACCATCTGAAACAACAATGATTTGTGGTGAATATGTTTTCTTCTAAGCACCTGAAAACATTTTTTAGACTGGTGCGAGAATAGGATTGTGGTTAAAAATAAATACATAAAATGTAGGGCATTCAAATTATCTGTCTAAATCTAAAAGAAACCCACATAGATGTTATTTTCAGTCACAAGTGGATTATTTTGCTTTTTTGGTGGGGTCGTGTTTTGTTTTGTTCGCAGGCAGGGCAAGTTGTCAGTTCAGTGCCGATTATTTTGTCAGAATTTAGCTTTCAGCAAAGCTTTATCCAATGAGATTTTTTTTTCTACTTCTTAGTTTGAGCACTATGGAAGGTAATAAAAAAAGCTATTTGGTGTGCAGATTTTTTTCTTGTTGCTGTGCCAAGTTATTAAAAAATGGGTATCGTTGATAATATATATATCCTTTATCAATCGGACTCTTTTTTTTTTTTTTTGTGCATAGCACACTCGAAAAAGCCCATCAATACCGTGGAGTGCGTTCTTGTCCTTTAAATTTTCAAGGAACCATAATTCTAACACTGAACAGTTCCTGATGGCGTTCAGTCCCGTTCAAGAGGTCCTACCTTATTCTTTTCTTCATGTTTATCACACTTTCAAAAATCTGTGGACACTCTAGAGTGATTGCCTTACAACGTTCTAATCAACATGAGTTAAATCTCAGGCTGAACACTTTCCGACAGCATTCAGTCGTGGTTTTCTTTTAACGTGTCCTCCTGATCTGGGTCTGTCTTAATCACATTCCTAAAACCCATGGACACTTTGGGCATGTCTTTCCCAGTTATACTACTGGGTCGTATTGGCTGCATATGTATGAGCAATAGCAATTACATTTTGAAAGTCTACAATTTCATTGTCAGCGTGCTCGCAAAAGTGGCAAAAACGCTCCACGGGCCCCTCATACTTTGTGTGTGTCCAAGACATTTTAATTCTATCGGGCTGATGGCTTATTCATTATCGCGGCGAATTTCAATATCTCACTTGCTGTTTTCATTTCACTTGGATCATTAGTCCCCCCACTAATACCCGCGTACCTTCCAGCTGCTCTTTGTCGCCGGTAATTAGGCGACGACGCAAAAGCTAAAGATGGTAATATGAATTCTTAGGGCAACGGTTGGTATCACAGAGTGAGATAAGTTCTTTAAATACCGATTAAGCGCCAATGTGACTGCGGGGCCTGTTGGAACGATGAGGCGGAGAGTCTATTTTCAACCTTGCTTTTGGATTTGATCATTTTACGGAGTCACTTCTAATCGTCATGCCTTAATTTGTATGGGAAACATGCGAACACTCCAGCTGCCTAAAAGCATGACTTGCTAACAAACTAGTTAGTTGTCAATGCAAATCAGTAACAAGTGAGTTATAAAGTGTTACACAAGCAAAAAGACACAGAGACCACAACAAATTAGTTACTCAAAAAGATAAGTGACAAACTCTGGTGAGCTAAAGTATGATTTTATTTAAGAATAAAAACATGAAATGTTAAAATGAGTTATAAATTTTTGAGCGAGTTAAAAAAAAAAAAAAAAAAACATGAGACGCCAACCAATTAGCCTGAAACAGGAATTTCAAACTCTACAGCTACTTAAAAACATGAGATGTTAAAAAACAATCCATCTACCAGAAGTTACATTTGAAAAATATAACTTACAAACTCACAGTTTTGCAAACAAAAAAAAAGGAACCAACAAATTAGCAAACAGAAGCTACTTTCAAACATGCTAAGCTAACAAACCAGCGAGTTCCAAACGACATAGGAATTGGAGACGCAAACAAACTGATTTGTGGAAAAACTTAAGTTACAAATACATCTGCTGACAAACTAATGACAGATTTCTTAAAAAAAAAAAAAGAAAAAAAGGAGTAACTGTCGTTCAAAATTCAAGTTAAAAGAGCTCACACTACCCAAAAACGTCAAATAATAATTAGCTCTGTGCTGTCATCTCAGGAGTGCTTGAAATATTGACAAAATGATAAGAAATCACAAGTAAGCTTAATTTCCCTTGATGGGTGCATGTGAGTGTGTTTGTTGCAGCTGTTGTGAAAGCATTCTATAAATAAAGATATATTATATTGTATTATTTGCTTTTTATCCAAATGGTGGATGGAACTGGTTGGCCATCCATCTTGATCTGCATAAACAAAACTGGAACCAAATTGTCTGCTGAAGCACAGCAAGTGAACTTCCTGATTGCTGTCCCCGTGTGGAGAAGTCATGATGATAATTATTATTATTATTTTTCAAGTTTTGGCTGCAGTGGCTGACTCATCCAGTCGGCAAATGTTGATACAAAAATAACACTCAAACCAGCCACGGCTCACAAAATTCCATTTTGGTGAATCCACAGCTCCCCCTATGATGTCTGCAAGGATTGAGTTCCATTTTAAGTGGCTACACATAACATGGCAAATCCATTCTGAAAACAGTCCGATTTAGCCGCGCAGGTGACAGCCGAAAGAATCTCATTTGCACTTCTCGTTGTTTAATGAATTACTGATACTTTCATGCTTTATTGAATGATTTAATGCGCCTTCATGTAATTGCATGTGGTTGTTTGTAACCACTTAAAATGGAACAACCACTGCTTTAACGTGAGCCAGGGGGAGAAAAAAAACACCCTGTAACCAAGGCTTGAAATCACAATCCCTGTTTGAAACCCTGACTTTAAATCCTCAAACCCTAATTTGAAAGTCCAGCCCTTGCTGTAAATCCAGGCTTGCAAACCCTGACTTTAGTTTGAAACCCTAAACGTTGTTTGTTCCTCTAACCCAGGCTTTTAAAACCCTAACACAGGCTTGAAATCTTATGTTGACACCCTACTCCTGGCTGTAAACCTTTGTTTGACCTCATAACCCTTGCTTGAAGCCCTGATTTATAACCTGACCCTATAACAATACTTCATAGCAAGTGTTTGTTATCACCTACGTGCGAGCGACTAGGATGAAGCTCTTCTCCCTCATTGGAGCTGGAAAACCCCTGCTACATATGCGCGATAATACTGCCCTCTAATGTCAATTAGCACAATTGCAACGTTTTAGAAAACGTGACCGCTCCGGACTCACTTTTGTCCATCTTGTTATGATAGACACGAGACTGTTGCAATTCTATCAAGGCTCATTGGAGTCCAAACATTTGTTGGGCGCCTGGAGGTGGGAGCTTGACTAACTGGTATTCTATATAGGTTGATTATGGGAAGAGGAAAAAAAAGGGGTTACGGTCGTCGAGCCATCTTCGTAACATCGTGCTGTCTCCATGGGAACGGGCCCATCCTGCCACTTAACGGGCCGATCCTGCCACTCAAACTCAAACTGCTCAGCTCAAAGGACCTCTCCTGATGTAAATTATTGGCAGGGCTCATCGAGCTTTTTTGAAAGGATAATTAAAAGCGGGTCTTTTAAAGCCATGACAATCACAAGCACGCGCACACACACACGCGCGCGGCACACACACTACACTCGCGCACGAACTGGGCCTCACGCTCAAATTAATGCACACATTCTAATTTTTGTGAACCGAAACATGCAAAGAATTGATGTAAATGACATCCTGTTCCGATAAAAATTGCTAAATTAAACAGTAACCAAACATGTTTTATCAGTTTAAATGCTAAAATATTTTGACCCTCCGCGCTCGCCTTACTCCGGTATATCAACACGCTACACCGGAAGTACCGCCTCTTTTTTATTCTCTCTTTGCCAGTACGACTGAGGTAAATGTTCTAACACTGACATTTATTTGTAATCCTCACCCATCCTTTAAAACACAAACATACTGCATCCCAATTTTGGTATCATATGTTAACACCCTTCCTTAGCCACATTTTGACCACTTAATTTCTTGCCTAAAGCTTCTGTGTGCTATGTTGTAGCCGATTCTCTGACTCCCGTGTCTCTGCTCTTCCCTTAGCGTTCAGTCCGCTGACACGGCGCCATGGTAAGCAACGCAAAATGTCACGAACTCATCCATTAACTCTTATTACCTGACAGCGTCGTCCCTAAACGACAACCTGATTTCAGTATTGGACGATAAATCGACCATTGTTGTACGGCGGTTGTGAATCGAAGCTAACCCCGAGCTAATGTTCTTAGCATTAGCATGGCGTGCTGTCCGGTTGAAGCCGAGCAAACGTGATCTATCGAGTGTGTATGTTGAGTGCAATAAACTCTATACGTGCCGGTTAAGGAACCAACACTTACAATTAATAGTTAAATTCCCGAATAAAGGACGCCTCCCTCCCTAAAAATGTCAATAATACAACTTCATATATATATGCCTCTAACTTGACAACAGTGCATTTGACGCTGAGCAGCAAGGTGTCCAAGCATCCCAGGCTGCTGTGCCTGTGGTGCATTTTTACACTTGCCAGACTAACGATGGACCAAGTGCTGACTTTCGGATTGATACAGAAAGCCAAGTTCCACCGGTCCACTAACAGCCATGATTTAGCATTCTCTTTTGTGAATATGAATTTCCTAAGTGTCATCCTAATGTTTTTGTTTGTTTTTTGTAGCCTCGCAAGATTGAAGAAATCAAAGATTTCCTGCTGACGGCCAGGAGAAAGGATGCCAAGTGTATGTAGAGAGCCCGGCATTACAGCGGTGGTCCACAATAAATACTTTTTCTTGGGAGTTCAAGCCTCACAGTTGAAGATGTAAACATTTTTGTGTGTGCCCAGCCGTGAAGATCAAGAAAAACAAGGACAATGTGAAGTTCAAGGTGCGCTGCAGCAGATATCTGTACACGCTGGTCATCACTGACAAGGAAAAGGCCGAGAAGCTCAAGCAGTCACTTCCTCCTGGTCAGTGTTAATAACCGCAAAACTGCTTTGTCCAATGATATCGGCTGGTCTAACGCGTTTGTTTTTGGGGGCTTTTGTCTTTGCAGGTCTAGCTGTCAAGGAGCTGAAGTAAATGTGTCATGTACAGAAAATTATAATAAAAATGGGAAAACTCAAGTTACTTGTGTGCTTTTGTTTAGTCTGTGTGCGTTGGTATTTTGTGTTTTTGATAAGATAAGATATCCTTTATTTGTCCCACACATAAGATGTTAAACCTTAACTTTATTAGTCTCATAATAGGGAATTCAACAATAGTGGATACGAAATATTAAATAATGGCTTACAACAGAGGACATTTCTAAATGAAGGATACTAAACAAATTAGAAAGCTAACTATTGCCCTTGCGTAAACTAATCCAACTAACCAATTTGGCAATTGTGCTCTCTGAAAGTTGCATGAAGGAAGGAACAGTTGACTCCACATTCAGTTGTTTATTTGGGGCGGTTGAACGTTCTACTACCAGATCAGGAAGTGAATTAATTTGAAATGATCGAAGATGAAGCTGAATCTGTTGTTTATTTTTTTACCAACAAGTGGAAATTGTGTTCTGTCATTTTCTCTTTTGGCCGCTAGATGTCAGCAAAGTAACTCCTCCAAATTGTGTTAATTGACTAGTCTTTTCCGCGGTTGGCCACCAGATGGCAGCAAAGTAATAAACGTTCGACAACGATTTGCTTCAATAAACGTAAATCACTAAGTACCTCGTTTCTGGTGGGCGAAGCCCCCCTGTAGCCTCACGTGTCTCTCGTCCACGAGTGGCTGAGAAGCGCGCTCCCGCTGATTCGTGAACGGCGCGTGGTGGATCCAAACACGCACGGGACTCAGCAGCCGCTCCTCGTGATTCCTTGTCATCCCCGAACAAGTGTTGGATCCAACCGAATCCGAACATTCTCCTGCGCGTGTTTGGACCTCGCGAAGAAGAGGAGTGCGTGTCTCCACCACCGCCACGCACGAAACATGTTTTCATCCCCGCCTTTGTCTCACACGAGACAGGACTGACGAGACGCTTTGAACTTTTTGGGGGGTGGTGGTGGTGGTGGTTTATTTTGGTTTCATACCCGCGCGGGCAGGTATGTCTTCTTCACGCGTGGATTACATCGCGCCGTGGTGGACTTACTGGCTGCACAGTTTCCCGCACGTCAACCTGAGGCTGCAGCCGGTGGACAACAGCTTCAATCCCAACGACGAGAACTACCAGCAGGTCAGTGCGGAGTATCGCCACAACATCTCCAACATCTCCAACAACATCTTTAATAGGGACACGCACCCACTCGGGACACCTGATAGTTCTGCTGTTTATTATGTTTGGATGCTGTTTCAAAGGAAATGACGTGGAGTGATTTTTAAATTGGCCATTAAAACTCGAGTAATAGTTCAATGTGCGAGCCAGAAAACAACTTGGCTCAAAACATTCAATTAATACCCGAATACAGACCTGAAACACCTGTCTCAATTAAAACTCCAAACTTGGCTTGGAACCCGACTTGGAAATGCCAACCTTGACTTGAAACCCAATTTTGGAATACTCTGGCTTGCTCGAAACCCTACGTTGAAACCCTAACCCAAGCTTCAAACCCAACTTGAAGAACACTAATCATGAAAGTCTGCTTGTGAATTCCTAACCCTGCTTTCAAAACCCCAATTTAAAACCCTAACTCTTTTTTAAAACACTCATTTTAAACTGTTAGTTGACGTCACTACGCTTGCTTGAAACCCTACTTTGAAACCCTCACCCTAGATTGTAACCCAAATTTTAAACACTAATCCTGGCATGTAAAAAAATAAAATAAAATGAAACCGCCTCCTTCAGTTACTCAGTGGGCAAAAGTCATTTGGTGTGTGTACTGCAATATTATGTCCAAACTGGTATAAAGCACAATGTATATGTATTGTATAATAGCTGAGGCAGTGCGCCATGTGACCGACTTGTCGGCATTACTGTTTTTTTTTTTGTTTTACTTAATGAGTGCCCACAATTCAATTTAGGAGGAGATAACATGGCAGAGGCTCACATGACCCCCAGAATACCATCTCAGTGACAGAAAAGTTGCTGTGTGGGCTGAATTCCTCGGAACATTTGTTGTTGGGGGGGAAGTTGGTTCGAAAGAAGACATCATGTGTTTGACATGCCGTTGAGTCAAGTTTGGACTTCCCAACAATACGTTTTTATCAAGGAAGCTTAGCTTAGCATCAGCGCTAATGAGCAAGGCATGATCCGTCTGTATATTGTCAGTGAAGTTAATGAATGTATGTATTCTTTGGGTCACGCCATTGGGATTAGTGTTGGGTTTTTTTTGTTTTTTTTTAGCATTAACGAACGGAGGCCGCAAAATGCTTGGGCTCTCCTTCTTTGTGTGCTTTGATAGTCGGCAAGACTTTGAAGTCACCGTTTACAGACGTTTTAACCATACTTCCTTTTTTAGTTCGTCAGAAGCCCGTTTATACTCCAGTCCAATCTGCTCTCTGTAATTTCAGCAATTGGTGACCTGGAATAAACTAGCAAAAAAAGTCATGATATTTCAAAATGTTGATTAAAATATCTGGATGATAGTACATTTGGCCTCAACAGCCACTTATTTTGTTAGTTAGTTAGCTAGTTAGCTGGGTAAGATCATGCAAAAAAAAAAAATGGTGATGGTTTGATGACTTGGCATGAAAAAAAGGGAGCAGTGTAGCATCATGCTATCCTACAAAAAGGTGGGGGTAGGGGGGACGCAATAACAGACGATAGCGTCTTTGTTTTGAGACTTGGTGAAGCAGCATGTGGGTCAGCACCCAAGGTTATTCACGCACACCCTGTTCCAAACACCAATTGATGTTTGTGACAAGGGGGAAGGCTCTGTTTATTATGTGACAGATAACACAATTTAGGGCTTGGTTGGTCAGCACCCAAGGTTATTCACGCACACCCTGTTCGAAACACCAATTGTATGTTTGTGACAAGGGGGGGAGGCTCTGTTTATTATGTGACAGATAACACAAATTAGGGCTTGGTGATTAATAGCAATGAATTAAGTTTCGTGCCAAAGATGATTATCTTAAAACTAGATTTTTTTTTTTTTTTTGGCGGGGGGATTCGAGGTATGTGCTTCCAAGCCACAAATATTTTGCAGACATCTCCTTGCCTCTGCTCCAAAGTGTGAACGAGTTCGAGGTCCACAATAGAAATATAGACCGGCAGAGCCTTGTTAAAATAATAAGGATTGTGTTTGGATACACGTTTTGACAAAATTGATCTTCCCTACTTCTGTGGATGGTCAAATTTGTGAAAACAACTTGCTGGGGAAAAAAAAAAAAAACTTGTTTGGTACCAGGACAAATAAGGCGAAGCTAAGAAAGGAAAAAAATAAATGAAACTAATTTCCAATAACATCATTGTGTTTTACTTTTTCCATATGCGAAATGAAAAATAGATTTAAAATGGATTTTTTTTGTCTGTGTGTGGAAAAAAGGAAGCTTTTTATTTGAAGTCCATCTCGCATCGAGCTCTCACCCAAACATTATCCTCACCACTGCTGTCCGTGGTGGCTACAAAGCTCAAAATGACACACAGCCCTTCGACCTCCTGAGGCAAAACCAACAAAAAGGTCCGCTCCAGTGATGGGGGCTGGGTTGTCTCTTCCCCTTGTCCTTTTGTTAAAGACCCCCACACTTGACCCTCCTGGGTCACAGGGTTTATTTGTGGGTCTTGAGAGATCTCGCCACCTTACTCGAGCGAGTCTTTTTCCACCAAACTGAGTCGGAATCCTGAAATTGCGCTTCGAGTTAGTGTGGCGCGTTGAAGCTGCCACTTCCTTGCTTCGACTTTTTCCCTCTCCCTACTCGAGCGTGCCTGCTTCACTGGGGACTTAATGGCATCCCAGCTGCAAACGAGGCCCAGCCGAGCGCACTGTGCCGGAAAAAAGACCCCTGTACCGTCGCTCCTCCCCGAGGCGTCGAGCAGAGCGTCGCAGAGGATGACGAGGGGTGGGAATGATGATTGGTGGCTGATGGGTATGTTGGTGGCTGGGTGAGGGGCAGTTTTCCTTGCAATGATGGCAGTTAGAGTGCATTTGTCGCTCACCCGTAGTGGGATGTTTATGTCCCTGTAGGAAGTGATGATGTCATACTGCACTTGAGAAACAAGTTCATTGCAACATGTTCACATGGGAAAATCCCCAAGGAAGTCCTGGACATTCAAATAAAAACTTAATGAAATCTATAGGCGATGTCTTAAGTAGTAAAACCACTCTGAAAATGAAGACGCCCGGCAGAAACTGTTGTATAGGGCCTCGTCTAGCTTGAACAGAGGGATACCACTTTTGTTCAGACTGATACCAGTACCGGTATTCACTCTTTGTGTGCTGACAGATACAGAGTATCAATATCTCTCGTACTTTTCATATCGAGTTTTTATGAAGATTGATCTTCTAGTTCTCGACGGCCACGCCCATTTTTGCAGAAAATGTCAAAATTTGGTAGGATGTATAGTAGTTCCCAAACCTTTGCTCCGATTGACCTAAAATTTGAGATTTAATGTTGTGCAATCACTATCAAAAATGACAGCAAGTTTTATTAACATTAAAATCCCTTTGGTTAAACCCACTGAGTGATTTGGCGTGGGATGACACTGGTGTGTAAGGCTCGCTTAAAACTCTACTGTACTTGAAAACCATAACTCTGTCTTGAATTCCCAACTTGAAACCCTAAACCTGGCTTGAATCCCAAATTTGAATCCCACACACTAGTTTGAAAACCCAACCCTGGCTTGAAACTCTACTTTGAAACTCTAATAGTGAGTTCAGGACTCATTGGGTCACTATATGTTGTCTTTAAACATTGCCTAAAAGGGCATGTCTGTCACTTTTAGGACAGCCAACTGTCAAATCTTACAATCGAGCGGAAATGGAATTTCTGGAATTCCCCTTTATGTGGGGAAAAAAAAAGAAGAGAGGGGAATTCCACGGCCTTGCTTGTTTTCATGACCCACTACCCGTTTAGCTCCTGTCACATAGAGGGAATGTCACTGTCGACACTTGCTCTTGCTATCACACATTTAGCACTGATGTTATTCCACTTAGGCAGCGTAGCAGATGGAGTGTGTCTGTAACGCCGTGTTTATGTTTTCATTATAATC